TTTTTTTTAAATAAAAAATAAAAAAGACCAAAGGAAAAACCGATTCCCTCATCTAAAAATTCAAGAGAATCAAGATTTTAAAAACTCACCTTTCAAATTATCAAAGTGTACCCAAGAAGCGGTCTCTGATTTTTTGGTTTCCACATGACTGTCAGACACAGTTTCTTCTGTTGCAACTTTTTTCACAGTATCTGTTTCTATTTCTTTATCTGCATCAGTGAAGTTTTCTATGTCTTCATCGTCTTTTATATCAATAAAATTTTCTTCATCATCAGACTCCTAAAAAAATGATGCAATGAATATGAGTTAATCAACCAGAGTCTGTATTCAATTATGTGAGGTAGTTTTGAAGAAGATTCTGAAGAAACACCAAAGTTCCATCAACAAAATTCAGAAACCATATCCTTTTTTCTTAAGGTAACAGAGTTGAGTTTTGAGCCAAGAATCCCTGAGACTTTGGGACTTTTATTACATGAAAAGGTTCAGCCCTCAAATAAATTTTTTACAGATTATAAATAATGCTATTGAGCAGGTGTTGTTATTCTGTCCATTTCACAACTGAGGAAACAGGTTTACGAGATCTACTAGCTCTATAGCCCTCTTAACATCTCATAACTGCAGGGTAGTGTAGTGCAGTTTATATTGAGGAAAGCGGTCAAGCAACGTGCCCACCTAATCAGCTGTACGCCGGGGACTAAAATCCAGGTCTGTCTGACTGCGGGAGTCACACTCTTACATGCTCCAGATGACTAAGTTATTGTCATTGAGGCAAAGAAGAAAAATACCAATATATTTCAGAAGCCACTCGATTTAAAAAGCAGATGTAAAATGTACCGGATGATCGTTGAGGTGACTTCTTAAACCTGGTTTTGCTTTAAGGATCTCAGACACAAGGTATAAAGCTCCGCATATGAATGGTGGCATTTGTGCACAAGTAACTTGAAGTAACCTCTTCACAAAAGCCTTCACCCTGCGCAACACGATGTCAGCTTTCAGAGATTTGTAGACAAGGTTAAGAAACATGGCTTGCTTAGAACACAACATCAACCCCGGATCCAACATCTTCCTGTAAAACAAAAACAAGACCAGATGTTTATCCATAAAACATTTCCACAACCAGCAGTCACCTATCAACCTCATCTTAGTTAGGGATAACTTTCCTACTTATTTACTTATTTTAGAACAAGAGACCATTTCAGCCTTAAGAGGTAAAATGGAAGTCAATGACCAGAACAGAAAAAATGATTGGGGAGCGGGGGAAAGGTATCACAGGAATAAGAGACTTTTTTTTTCCCTTTCTCTTTTCCAAGTGGCTCTCCATACTCTAGACCAGCGGTTCCTCAACCTTTCACAGAGGTAGCCTAAGACCATTGGAAAACACATTTTCGATGGTCTTAGGAACCGAGACACTGCTCCTCTATCCGTCTCCAGGCCCACATGCAGATACGCCCACATACGAGTACCCAGCGACCCGTGAAAGGGTCATTCGACCCCTAAAGGGGTTGCAACCCACAGGTTGAGACCGCTGCTCTAGACCAACAGGGCACAGCCTTAACAGTATAATTTTTATAGACACAGAACCACACGTGAAAGGCTAATCCAAAACCAAATACAAACTGACCTATGAAAGCAGGGAGGACGAGATGTGGGTTCTTATCCTTGCATCACTACATGCTACCTGGGTGACCAGAGACTCCACATGGCTCTAGGGAAGACCATGCATGTACAGTAGAAAATTGAATTGTGAGGATTCAGAGAATCTCTAATCCAATGTACAAACAGTATAACAGCCTTCTATACATGCTATTCTCTCTGCCCAGAATGTTCCTCTCTAATTATCTGCATGTCTGTAGTATATAAAATAGGTCCCTCCATTATTGTCGGTATCAGTCTCATGGTTATGTTGTTCAGTTTAATAATACGCTGCTACCTTTCTCTTCTCTTCCCCCCAAAGTCCAATGGAACAGGGACTGTGCCTGTGTTACACATTGTTGTAACCTCAGTGTCTGGCACTTAATCAAGTCTTAATATTTATTGAATGAATAAACGGTTCATTCCATGGTATGCAACACCTCTACTGATCGTGGATTGCTCACTCTCTCACTTAGGAACGTAATCCAATTTTAGACAAGTCATTTTCCCAGGAAATCTGTTTACCTACTGCTGAAATCTGCTCCTGTGTCATTTCCTACTGTTACTCTATATTAGAGCATCTGAAGCAACACAAAACCACCTAACCACAAGCAGCAGAAGTGGAACCGCATCAACCTAAAGAGCTTCTGCACAGCAAAGGGAACAATCGATAAAATAAAAACGCGCCCTACAGAATTGGAGAAAATATTCACAAACAATTTATCTGATAAGGGTTAATATAAAAAAACATATAAGGCACCTCATAGAATTCAATAGCAAAACCAAAACAAAACTGAAAAACCCCAAAAATCTGATTAAAAAGTGTGCAAAAGACCTGAATAAATATTTTTCCAAAGAAGACAAATGGCCAACAGAGATATGGTGCTCAAAATCACTATCAGGGAAACGCAAATCAAAACCACCTCACACCTGTTAGAATGGCTATTATCAAAAAGACAGGAGATAACAAACCTTGGTGAGGATGTGGAGAAAAGGGAACCCTTGTACATTGTTGGTAGAAATATAAATTGGGAGAGCCATAATGGAAAACCGTATGGAAGGTCCTCAAAAAATTAAAAACAGAACTACCATATGAACCAGCAATCCCATTGCTGGGTAAATATCCAAATGAAATGAAATCTGTATCTTGAAGACATACCTGCACTCCCATGTTCATGGCATTATTCACAATAGCCAAAGTACGGAAACAACTTAAGTGTCTGTTGATAGGTGAATGGATAAAGATGTGAGATATGTATATGTGTGTATACACACACACACACACACACACACACACACACACACACACACAGAGGAATATTATTCTGCCACGAGNATAAAAAAAAAGAAAATCTTCATCCCAAGGTAGCATCTGCTATTGAATGAACCAGGTAGCATGTTTATCCCAACTACTAAAAGTTCCCCTGAAAACTTCTCCCTTTTCCCAATAACAGAAAATGTCTATTTCTGGGTCAATTAGGCCATAAGCATTAAGATGGCAAATAGCCTGAAGATAAAATAGGTCTAAAGTCTTTTGGAACTTTAGAGTGTTCTAAATATTTGTCATTAAATTATGCCCAGAAATAATTAACTTAGAACACGTTTTACATTATCTTCATGTTTTCAGAAACCCAGGATTAAAAAATGTTAAAGAATTCATCAGAACACACTATGAACTGTCTACTTCACAATTACATGCTCACCACCTTTCTAAAGAATTATTCTCAGTTTAGCCTTAAGACAACTGATGGGTTTCTTTTAAAATTTTTCCTAATGGCTACTAGATATCTCTTTTATACTGCACAGGCAAACTGTAGTTTGGAGAGCTGAAATAATTTGACCAAGAGTCCCAACAAGTTTGAAGAAATGGGTCTGGCACACCTCTTGATCTTCAAGGCTAGTGGTCTTTTCTTTACGGCCTCAAGTGAAGAGGCTGTATTTCTAAGATTTCTTTTGGCCCTAATATTCTATTAATTCAGTTTGTGTGTGTATATGGAAAAACCTAAAGTTTCTATCTCACAGCAAGTTTTCAATCCTAAAACATTAAGAAACTGTAGAGGGTGAATATGATACTCAAAAAGCACCAAAACTTCCACACAATTCACAATATATGACCAAATACTTTTGTTTATAAACTTTCATGCACATACATTTGATATTTTCATATATGTACCATGTTTGAGGCCTTTATATGTACAGATAAAGGTCAAGAAACTAAAACTGATTCAAAGGTACAAACTTTCACATTTATAGCTAAATGAAATGAGATTTATTGTGCCTCTAACATGTCCATTGTTTTCTCACTTCACAGCTCCAAAAGATATTGCTTTAATTTCTAAGATTTAA